TTCAGCGTCAGCCCAACAATTGAAGCAGAGATGGAGAATAAAGGAGTTTGATGTTGATATCTTTGTCCAGCCCAAGAAGAAAAAGAAGCCTAAGCCTCAGCCAGAGGCCTCGGCAGAGCCTGCCCCACCAGAGGCCACAATACCGGAGGAAGACAAGGACGAGATGAATGGCTTTCACGCCAACGGTTCCACGATGGACGGGGAGTCGCTGGACTCTCTGAGTGAGCAGCTGGACTCTGCTTCTTTGGATGCAGCTGAGCTAGACTCTGAACCCGCTACGTCCGAAACCACAGGTAAATGCTGCTAAAAATCATCAGGGAGGTTTTAAAGGATTCTAAGAAACCTAGGAATAGCTAAATATTTAACTTTTTTTAAATTATTTGTTTATTTTTCTTTATTAAAATATATATTTTTTTCTTTTTTTTTCTTCTTTTTTATGGAATGAGAGCAGATTGCCTCTAAACCTTTTCTAAAAATAAAGGAGGAACTGAATAAAAAAATACTTCAGAAAGGAGCATCAGTCCAGATCAAGCATCGCATTATGGATGACTTTCTGACTGTGTTTTTTTTTATTGTATTTATTTTTTAATGTCTCCTCACAGGTGCAGAGGCAGAGAGTCAGGGAAGCGCACCAAGTCCCGCCTCCCAGAAGGGAGGGCGGAATCACCAGGGTCCAAGAGGAAACAAGTCCAGACACAGGCCGGGCTCTAATTCACATCCCCATATCTCCTCATTAGCATCCACCACCAACGAGCAGGGGTCATCAGGGGCAAAGAAGATGGGTTAGACACGTCTCTTACCTCCCTTTTTATTTTTTATAGTTTACAGTAAACGTGCAGTAGATTAATGATTTTCTTAGTCACACCCTGGGCAGCAGTTCTCTTCAAAAGTTGCCCTCTAACGTCTCCTCCCCAGCTCCCAACATCGACCGCTCTGTGAAGGACCTGCAGAGGTGCACCGCCTCCCTGACCCGCTACAGGATGGTGGTGAAGGAAGAAATGGACTCCTCCATCAAGAGGATGAAGCAGACGTTTGCCGAGCTCCAGAGCTGGTACGTTGGGTTTTTAATGCTCGGAACATGGCCGAAAAGGAGTTTTAAAGCAGCTGTGTGTGAGAGGGCTCACCAGCACACCGTAGAGACTCTATCTCACACACCAGCATCGATTAGTTTCAGCTTCTTGAAAAGAAACAAAGCAATGGTCCTTTTTTATTTTTTAAACGCACCTTTAAGCTCCACTGTTCAGAATTTTCAATTTGATTTGTGAGGTTGGCCGAGGCTTCGGCTGAGCAGCCAGAGGGTTACAAAGAGTCAACACCTGAGGAGCGTTGAACAAAGCCTTACTGTTAACTACACAAAGCCTGTGCAAGCCCTCAGAAACGGCAAATGTGCTGTGCATGCATCCACAATACCGCTGCCGAGGCCTTCTCTATCAAAGTCTCAGCAGCAGATGTGACGTCTCAAACTCTAAACAAACTTCTCTTGTCTTGGGGTCAAAGGTCAGTCAGCGAGCCTGGTCAATGCACCGTTCAACAAACTGTCCAGGTCCTGAAATTGCACACATTTTGACTTCAAGCCATTGGCCCTCAGTATTCTGAATACCAGGGGAACTCCCCTCTTTCCTTATCATGACCCTGCTTATGGGCCAGATGGTAGAAAAAGATAACTGTCTTTAATCTGGGCCTTTTCAAGCCTCGTCCGGTTAGATTAATTGAGAAATGAAGCCAAAGGAGAAGTTCCTGAACTTAATGACCTGCTGATAACAGTTTT